CCCCCCCCACTGCCCCGGAAGCAAAAATAGAACCCCCCGCTGGAACCACCGTTGTCCCCAGTACCACTGCCCCGCCAACACCAGGCACAACCACCATCACTACCACCAGCAGGGCCAGCACTACCAAGACCTCTCCACCTCCCACACAGGGAATAACCACCATCACAACACCACCACCTGTGCCCACCTCAGGCAGTACCTCTGCCAGCACCTCCAGCACCACCACAGAAAGAACCACAACGTCCACAGCCACGTCTCTTCCAGCAGAAACCTCCACGGCGACAACTCAACCTTCTACAACATCACCCACTACCGCCTCCACTGCCCCTGAACCAAAAATAGAAACCACCGCTGGAACCACCACTGTCCCCAGTACCACTGCCCCGCCAACACCAGGCACAACCACCATCACTACCACCAGCAGGGCCAGCACTGCCAAGACCTCTCCCCCTTTGACAGAAGGCATAACCACAATCACATCCACGCCAACAGTGCCCACCTCTGGAAGCGCCAGCACCTCCAAGACCACAAACAGCTGCCAACAGAACTGTGCCTGGACGCAGTGGTTTGACTTGGATTCCCCTAGTCCTGGCAGTGAAAATGGAGACATAGAGACGTTTGCAAAAATAAGAGCCGCTGGATATACACTGTGCGACAAGCCACAAGGCATTGAGTGCCGTGCAAAGGATTACCCTGATAGGAGTCTGGACAAACTGGGACAGAAATTTGAGTGCAGCCTTGACACTGGTCTTCTGTGCAGAAATAAGGATCAGATCAAAAAGTACCCCATCTGCTTTGACTATGAAGTCAAGGTGCTGTGCTGTGACTGTCAGACAACATCAACACCCACAGTCACCACGGCAGGCCACACCACCACATCCACTCCAGCAGAAACCTCCACGGTGACAACCCAACCTTCTACAACATCCCCCACTCCCGCCTCCACTGCCCCTGAAGCAAAAATAGAAACCCCCGCTGGAACCACCGTTGTCCCCAGTACCACTGCCCCGCCAACGCCAGGCACAACCACCATCACTACCTCCAGCAGGGCCAGCACTACCAAGCCCTCTCCACCTCCCACACAGGGAATAACCGCCATCACAACACCACCACCTGTGCCCCCCTCAGGCAGTACCTCTGCCAGCCCCTCCAGCACCACCACAGAAAGCCCCACAACGTCCACAGCCACGTCTCTTCCAGCAGAAACCTCCACGGTGACAACCCAACCTTCTACAACATCCCCCACTCCCGCCTCCACTGCCCCTGAAGCAAAAATAGAAACCCCCGCTGGAACCACCGTTGTCCCCAGTACCACTGCCCCGCCAACGCCAGGCACAACCACCATCACTACCTCCAGCAGGGCCAGCACTACCAAGCCCTCTCCACCTCCCACACAGGGAATAACCGCCATCACAACACCACCACCTGTGCCCCCCTCAGGCAGTACCTCTGCCAGCCCCTCCAGCACCACCACAGAAAGCCCCACAACGTCCACAGCCACGTCTCTTCCAGCAGAAACCTCCACGGTGACAACCCAACCTTCTACAACATCCCCCACTCCCGCCTCCACTGCCCCTGAAGCAAAAATAGAAACCCCCGCTGGAACCACCGTTGTCCCCAGTACCACTGCCCCGCCAACGCCAGGCACAACCACCATCACTACCTCCAGCAGGGCCAGCACTACCAAGCCCTCTCCACCTCCCACACAGGGAATAACCGCCATCACAACACCACCACCTGTGCCCCCCTCAGGCAGTACCTCTGCCAGCCCCTCCAGCACCACCACAGAAAGCCCCACAACGTCCACAGCCACGTCTCTTCCAGCAGAAACCTCCACGGTGACAACCCAACCTTCTACAACATCCCCCACTCCCGCCTCCACTGCCCCTGAAGCAAAAATAGAAACCCCCGCTGGAACCACCGTTGTCCCCAGTACCACTGCCCCGCCAACGCCAGGCACAACCACCATCACTACCTCCAGCAGGGCCAGCACTACCAAGCCCTCTCCACCTCCCACACAGGGAATAACCGCCATCACAACACCACCACCTGTGCCCACCTCAGGCAGTACCACTGCCAGCACCTCCAGCACCACCGCAGCAAGCACCACAACGTCCAAAGCCACGTCTGTTCCAGCAGAAACCTCCACTGTGACAACCCAATCTCCAACATCACCCACTACTTCCGCTACTGTCCCTCAGTCAACAACAACCACCACTGCTGGCACCACAGCTATCTTCACTTCTTCCCCTAGTATTCCTGTCAGAACAGAACCAAGTACATATGTTACATCAAGCAGAACAATTCCATGTTTTTGTCATGTTTTTGGTAATATTTTTTCTCCTGGTAAGTGTCTTATTTTATGGTTATCAAAATTTTCATAAGAAATATAAACCCTTAATACTCTATTCAACTAAAGATAAGCAGTCAAAATCATCTAAACATAGAACTTTTTATACATGAGTACACTTTATATTTTTGCTGTATCTTCTCGGTTTTTTTTGTAAGTATTGTTATTGGTCTTTTAATTTCTCCTCCAATTTTCCTCTACAGGGGAAGTGGTATACAACAGAACAGATAGTGCTGGCTGTAATTTTTATGCACTTTGCAGCAAGGAATGTGAAATTGACCCATTCCAGGGACCATGTCCTTCGACAACTCCTTTCACTCCAGTCACCTCAGAAACTACAACACAAGCCACCTCATTCACACGAGAATTTTCTTCCGTCTCACCAACCACAGCAACATCCCTCACAACTTCAGTAGAAAGAAACTGTACTGATGTCAATCCTCCACGAAAGGTGGTTTCCCCCGTTATTTTCTAATGTATCTCCATTGCAAAACCAGCCTTGTTTGTGTCCTCTAATAGCCCATTCAAATCAACTTGTATGTATTTCAATGACAAAATTGGTCATGTTACAAATCACTTGAGTGCACTCAATTCAACCTGGCATTATCAGGCTTTTAAGTAATCTGGAGATGGACGAGCTCACTAATACCATGGGAGAGGCTTTTTTTAATAAGAAACATTTAAATGTCAGAGAAATAGTAGACTAGCTAGGAAAGTGTTAAAACCTAATTCTTTTTACATAGAAGAAAATGCCATGATTGCTCTCAGCTTGCCTGGTCTTAATGCTTGAATTCCTATGCTGAGAAAACTCTAATCGGAACTCTCTACTGATTTCGAGAGTCTATCTGAAGTTGAAACAGAACAACTAGGGTGAGAGAGCACTGGAAAATAAATCATTTACTTATTTTCAGCCTGGAGAGAACTGGATAAGTGAGTGCCAGAAGTGTGTCTGTGACCCACTCAATGCTACCGTACAATGCCAGCCGCTCCTATGCCAAACAGTTCAGACACCAGTTTGTGACCTAGGATTTCTTTCCATGCCTGTACTGCCACCAAAAGACCCATGTTGTCCTGAATTTGAATGCCGTAAGTCTTAAAAATACATATATACACTCTGGTAGATTACATTTGTACTTCTGTTAATATCTAAGCAAGTTCTTCATGTATCACAATAACACCAACACCTTCTTTAAATTGTTCTGGCTCAGGGAACATGCATCAATTTTTGGCTAAATATGCATTAGAAGTTTATTT